GCCACGTGGCCACGTGTTTGAGTCGCGTACCTCCCAGATTATCGTGTATTTGCCGATTTGTGGCCTTATAGCACGAAAACAGCACAAGCCAGGAACACTGAAATGGTGCAATCAGTGAGGGGACAAGTCCTGCTTACACCACCGGCGGTCACGTGGCACAAGTGCAGATTTGGGCACCTCCGTTGCGGAGATATTTTATTGTGAAATATTCAAATGAACATAACTTTGTCAGTTTAAGTCCAATTGGGTTGGACTTTGGTGGGTGGATAAAATTGTTAAGTGACAGGAACGAATGCGCCACGTTTGTCGCAGTGCGCCACGTTTGTCTCAAAGCGCCATTTTTGCCGCAAATCACAGAATGTGCGTAACTTTATCGAACATGGGACGATTAGGATGCGCTTTGATTGAGGGATGGCTGCCTAAACGGCAGATATGAATACACCACACTTGCCGCAAGGCGCCATATTTGTCTTAATGCGTCAGTGTTTACGTTTAACGGACGGTATTTTCATGTGCCACGGTTGGGGTGCAGCTGCACGTGCGCACGTGTAGGGGTCGCTTCAAGATAGCACACCGACTCCGGTCTGCACGTGCAAGGCTCATCCTCTCGTTTGGCGGCGGGCGTTTTTGCTGCGTTTACAAAGGTGCTTGCTTATTGCGGTACAGTATTACTGCAGGCGCAAACAACGTACATAGATAACAAAGATGCCTAAGCTGCGCTGGCCGGCGATTGAAGCGTAAATTTGCGTTGCTGGGTAGCAAAAGGTTTAGGAACCCGAATTTGACAAAATAAATGATTTGCCGTGCTGGTGGTCTGAGGTCGCAAAATCAACAGAACCCTAGGTCAGTGATATTGAAATTTCGAGGTAGATGTAGGTACTCTACGTATATACTGTTGATCTTATCAATTGCTGCACGTTTTAAGCCGATTGTATAGTCTGTGAAGCTATGACGGGCATTATAATTTTTCTAAGGGAAGGCCACTTGGACGTAACCTGGTGACCTAACCTTGAGCGACCTAACTCTGAAAGTTATGCAGCATTTGTGAAAAAGATGTATGAAGAGGTGTGCCGAAAACGGCGGCGCTACACAACGCCGTTTCCGAGATATTTACATAAATCCACATTGGGTGTCCGATCATCCCCACCGCCCGGCGCGGATAATTTTTTGCACGTGCAGAGCGCACCTTTGGGGCCACCAGGAGATGGATATGCTCAATAACTATGCTGGAATACATTCTGGGTGGCCTGTGTAAATTTGGCACTTTGAGCTTGCCAGCGCTACCCGCCCTACCCGCATATGTGACACCTGGAGTGCAACATCAAAAGGTTTGCACGTGCACAGCACGTGCAACGTGTACCACAGCACGCCTATTTGTACAGCACCTTAAAGCGCGTGTCCAGTAGTGTCAGTGTACCAAATTTGGTGTGCCTAGGTCAAGGTTTTCCGGAATCGGAGGATGCCTCCTCAAAACATGTTTTTCGCCACTAGCGCGTGCATTCCGCACCCCCTGATGCCGAGCATACCATATGTTAGTGGTCGAACACTGGGACATGTGGCGTGTGAGTTTGGCACCTGTGCCGCCCTTCGTTTGATTTGAAGCGTCGCTTAAAGGTTTTTGCCCTTTGTAAGTTTGTCGGCACGTGGCACGCGCCATGTGACACCGGGTGACATGTGACATCCATCATCACCTGCCTCAAGGAATTACCCGTCGAACGGTACCACCAGCATCTTGATCCGATCATCCGTTTTGACACAATTCCAATTGTATTGGCTCGATGACCTTCCAGAGCACGGTTTTTTGGCAACGTAAAATGGCGCCTTGTCGGCTTCACTATCTTCCATAGGAGGTCCATTGGGATTGTCAGTCCAGTTTATTTATACGTCCGTGACCCACACACACCATACCACAACACATACATCATACATTCATACATACATGCATACATTTTAAATACGTGCATACATACATATACAATCATACATACATACGTACATATACCGGGTGGCCCAGAAAAAACGTTCCCAACTTTAACCCTATTCCTGGCGGGGGGGGGGCCTCAGGAGCCCCCCCCCCTGAGGTTTTTCGGTTATTTCTCCCAAACGCGTTGAGCTAGGAAGCTCAAATTTTCTGACTTTTCCTATAAGGCTTCTACGCAACATGTCTGAAAATTTTGAGTTGATCTGACCTCAGGTCAGGTCACCAGAGGCGGTTTGGTGACCCTACCTCAGAAAAGTTTGCAATCACGCCAGAGATAGAGTTTTTGACCGATCAATTTCTTCTCTTCAGGCTTTAGTTAGGGTACCAGTATGTGCAATTTGTATATCTCGGAATTTTGATATCGGTGACCTAAGGTCAGGTCAGTTTCGCGACCTCCCCATTATAAGTCAATGGGGGAAAAATCAACTCCCTGTTTTTACCACTAAAACGGGTCGGAATGGCCCCATATACCATACATGACTTCATATACGATCAACCTTCACTACCTTGAGGTTTGTTTTGCTGTTGGGCAGCTGTGAGGTTATGTGACGTCATCAAAGGTTACCAAAGGTTTTTGGCCAATAACTCCGTACAGGAACAAGATACAGACGCGTGGATGGTCTCATTGTGTTCAGCTCGTCAAGACGCATCGAATGATATACATGATGACCTCGAGGTCACGTGACCTGAGGTCAACCTTTGACCTTGACCTTTCGAGGTCAACATATATATCATTCGATGCAGATTGACGAGAGGATCACGATGATGCCCTTGGTTTGTTCCTATCTTGACTAATTCGAAAGTTTTCCGAGAAAAACTCTCTCCATATCTAGCGCCGCCATTTTGACTTTTTCGACCCCTGTGACGTCATCTTTGACCTGACCTGAAAATGACCTTAGTAAAAATTGTAGACCTTGTCCATGCGTATCCGATGCCGTTTACCGCTTGTCGCTATCTTGCTTCGTTCTCGAGATCTCAGGGGGGGGGCCGAATCGGCCCCCCCCCCGCCAGTTTCTTGTCCCGGCGGAGCCCGCCAGGAATAGGGTTAAATCAAGATTTCTTAGAAAGTGATAAAGATACAACATTGAAACTTCGAATAGTCAATGCGGCACACATTTTCAGTAAATGGTGTGATTTTCATGGTGTTCGGTAAATTACTTTTTAAACGGTTCGTGTTTCAAGCATGCCATGTAAAAATTACTTTTTTGCTCCGATGTTTACTACAAAATGTGAGTGAACGGGTCACTTTCACCCAGCGAAACCGCGGCCTAGAGCCATGACTTCTACTGGCAGCTAGTCTCATTGATGGTTCGGGTCTCAGGATGACACATTCCCTCAGGCAACCACGATGGCTCTGTGCCAGCGGCATCGGAAGAAGTTTCCAGTTTTCTAACCATCTTGTGGCTCAAATGCTTTCCTGGCTGACATTCCTGGGAAAGGGTAGCTTTTCAACCAGTTTTTTTTTTGTCATCTGCTGGCAATGTTGTTTTTCATAAGCTTCCTATTCTGTGGTATTCTGGCACAGGAACCAGCCTGCTTTAGTTTGTTTTCCTTCTCCGGTCGATTTACTGTTTGATCTACTGAAAGGAAAGTAATCAGCAGTAATCCATGCACCGTGCCACTCCTGCTCGAAACATGATTTGGTGTTGAAACGAATGGCATCCATGAGCACCATTTTGGATCAGTATTTGAATATTTGGCACATAAGTGAGACAAAAATATTTAAAATAAGAACATACGTGTTGGTTTCATTCACGTGCTCTATTTTTTATTCTTTTTTATAACATGAGACGGTCTAACCCAATTATCACTATCGTTTGACATCGGCAAAAAAAGCAAAAACGTCTTGCTTAATTCAACTCAAGATTGCCAGCTTGAAAATAATGGTATAGTGTTATAATTTGGCATATCAATGCGCAAAGAAATGACACAAACTTGATGAAAATTTTGGCTCGTTATTTGTACTCGAATTTGATACATAGGCCTCCAAAGTTCGGAACGTTTTTTCTGGGCCACCCGGTATACAAACATACATGCATACATATATATGCACATCGTTCCTTCACAACACATTCCTTGATTCATTGATTCATCCTGAATCCATACATTGATTCGTTCATTTATTCGTCTCTTCATTCCCCCATGCTTTTGCTCGTTCATTCATTCACTCACGTTTTCAGTCATTCACTCAGTTCTGGATGCATACATGCCCAAGTATATTCATTCGTTTATTCACTCTCTTCGTTCGCCTGATCATCATTCTAAAGATTGATGACCTATCGACTGATAGTACCTACGATCGATTGGCACAGCGACCTGTAGTTGCAGCTTGTTTTCTGAATCCCAGGTCTTCTCAGCTTCGCTGATATGTATATGTTCCAGGCACTTTAGAAAATCAGTCATTTTGTAAAATGCCTGGGCATTTTACAAAAAGACGGCTGTTTGAAAAATGACTGAACGCAACCAGGCTTTTTTTCAAAATGGCTAGCCATTTTACAAAATGACTAGGCATTTTGCAAAATGCCTGACCAGCATGGAACGTAGATCCCACTACAGATACTATGGCCAACAGTTTTTGGACGTCTTCCTATACCCTATAGGTACGTGTTCAGCCTGTAGCTGATCGATTTGAAGCTCCGTGATGACGACAATGCTGAGTAACGACCAGGTTGACGCACGGACGCTCACTCACAGCCCACGGATCAACAAAGAAGCCCAGTGTGGACCACCCCTCCCCTCCTCAGTTGACTGGACAGCGCTCATTGGCTCTAAGGAACTTCAACAAGTCTACCCTAGGCCTAGTCCACACAATTGTTTACAGTATTATTGTTTAGGTTTTCTTCCTAACTTTTCTTTGGAATAAAAAAGCTCTCTGATCACAATGAATATTAAAGCAATAATTAACAAAACACGATTAATTTTGTTCTGTGGCAACAGCTTTGAGTACCTACTTGCATGGTCCCTGTGGTGAATTAACAATAAAAATAGCCGGTTCGTTGTCAAGAAAGAGTTGAATTGATTTTACTTTATATTATCTTCGGCGGCGGCGACTCTCAACACTCTCAACACGTGGCGGCGACACAATCACGGCGGCAGTCAGGGCGGAACTCAACCACGAGGACGAAAACGGGGGCGAAATCAACTCTGTTTATACAGCGCAATGTGAAGGATCCAGGACGGGCTACCAGACAGAGGATACTTTAAAAGTCGGAAAGGAAACTAGTATAGGCACGGGGAGGATAAAGGAAAAGGGCTCGAACACACGACATACTCCCCACCCGAAGTAACTCGGGTTACTTCGCAAAAGCCAATGCTCAAGCGTCGGCAACACAGGGCGGACCGCGAGCAGCCAGCTCGGCGCTTTGCGACGGTACGAGTGCGCAGACAGACGCACGAAACAAATGACAGCGCTCAAACTAGTCTCGACACTTCGCGACACATTGAGTACAACCAAGTGCAATCAGCACACACAGAAACGGTCCTCTAGTTCTGACGCGCGCACAACTCGGCACTCGGGCACGTCAGTCGCCATTCCGAGCTCACAACTCGGCACTCGGGCACAGCTCAGTCGCCATTCCGCGCACACACCGTCAGGCGCGCGGACGAGAGTCTTACTCGGCGGCCTCCAGACTGAAGAGCCGGGAGATTGGCCGCCGCGTTATTTTGCCGCGCACACGGAGAAAAGCCGCTCGGCAGCGGCCGTCCGGTCCCGGGATGAGCGACACCACCCGGGCGAGGGGCCACGTGCCCCGGCGTCCTTCGCCCTGCAGCAGGACGACCTCGCCGACCGCGGGCAGGCGAGTGGGGCGGCCGCGCGGTGACGCGGCCCAGCCTCTCAGCGTCTCGAGGTACTCGGTCGTCCACCGACGGACGAGACGGTCACTCACACGGCGCCGGTTACGCCAGGTCCTGCCCACATGGGAGTCAGAGTCAAGACTGGGACAGACCACACCGGAGATGGTGGTAACCCCAAACAACAGGTGAGCCGGGGTAAGTAGATCATCTCCATCACCAGGGGTCAGGGGCCTCAGGTTGAGATGAGACGCAAGTTCATACAGCGTCACAGCCAGTTCATCATACGACAGGTGGCACTGGTGCAACGTTATCTTCAGGGCGCTCTTGGTCACACCGACGAGCCGTTCCCAGAACCCGCCCCACCACGGGGCGGCCTCGGGGATGAAGCTCCACTTGACTGACCGCGGCGCATGACTGACAAGATCAAGGGCATTGTCACGGACAACTTGACAATCAGACTCCCCACCCTGCGAGACGTACACAGTGGCACAGTAGGCAGTCTTGGAGGCACCACAGAAGACATGCGTGCCCAGACTGGTCTCACCGATCATCGCAGCACGCGGGAAGGAGACAGTGCTGCGGGAAGAATCTTGCCACCAGGCGGCGACCTCTGCTTGCAGCGCATCGGGCAGCGGCTCGTCCCACGTCAGCTCCACCGACCAGGTCCGCTGGAACAGGGCCTTTCCTCTGACCAGCCATGGGGTGAGCAGGGGTAACGGGTCAAACGGCTTTGCCACTGCGGACAGAAGCTCACTCCTGGTGCGAGGACACAACATCTCAGGCACGGTCACAGCCAGTCGGTCAGTCTCCGTGTTCCACGCCAGACCCAACACTTTTGAGTCCTCGGAGGACACATCACCTGTGGTGCGGGTCTTGTGCAGCTCCATCCTGGCCTTGCTGAAGACGCTGCTGACTTCCTTCATCCCAGTAGCTGCCTGTTCTCTGGTGCCGAACGTCGGGCACAGGTCGTCCATGTAGAGCGCTCCCTGCACCTTCTGCATCAGCTCCGGCTGGGAGACAAGGCACTGGCGGACATGGCAGCACACAGGGCGCAACAGCATGTACGGCGAACAGGATACGCCGTACGGGACCCTCTGAAAGCGCAGGTGGCGGTCTCCCCACAGGAACTGCACGTAGCGCCTGTCCTCCTCCTTCAGGACGATCTGGTGGAAGGCGGCTCGAATGTCTGCCTGACAACCAACAGCATTGGTGCGGAAGTTCAGCAAGACAGAGGGAAGACGGCTCAACAGGTTCTCCCCCGGGCTCAGGTACTCATTTAGGCTCCTCCCAGTGGCATCAGGAGCGGACCCGTCGAAGACCACTCTCAGTTTATCACCACGGACAACACCCCGGTGCGGCAGGAAGAAGGCGTCATCAGGGTCATCCGTGAGAGGAGCATCCTCAACCACACCGTTCGCAATCAACTCTGAGATATGACGATCATACCTGTCGAGCTCGTCGGTACTCATCTTGGAGACCAGACGTCGGGTGCGTAGCTCCGTAGACGTCAGGTTGGAGGCCGGCCTGCTGTCCGACTTCCAGAGCAGACCCATCTCGTAACGCTGCTCCTCTGGGTTCCAGGTCGGCTCAGGTGGCACCTCGTCTGCAGTCTCCTTCGCCGAGATTCCCACGGCGTCCAGGCTCCACATCCTCTCCACGTCGGCCAGCTGACAGCGGTAGACGCGCCTCTGTTCAGTCTGCTGGTTCTGTGCCTGCCCATGGAGAATATGACCAAACACCGTCTCAATCAGGCGCAGTCCGGGCCCAACCTCCACTTGGTCCCACATCACAACCTGGTAGATCTGATCACACCCGATCAACAGATCCACAGGCCCCTCACGGTAGTCGTCAGCGAGCACGACACTTGGGGGCAGCGACAGGTTCTCAGGCAGGCTGTACGTCCCAACAGGTACACACAGGCGATCAGTTTTCCAAAAAGACAGTGTGGCCTCACCTCCTTGTCTGCCAGTCAACTTAGCTGACACTCGGTCGTACACTCTGGCCTCCTCAGTCCTCTCCATGAACCCGACGCAGGCGAAGACTCCCTGCTCCTCAGTCTCCAGGCCCAACTTCTCTGCTAGAGACGACCTGATAAACGAAGAGTCAGAGCCTCCATCGATGAGTGCGCGCACCTGGCACACACCTCCCGGTCCACTGACCTCTACCAACACGGTCTGAACAAAGCAGCTGCTCTGAGCATTCACATTGTAAAGGCGCTTACCCTCACCAGGGCTGGTGGCTTGGCAGGGCGGCTGGACGGCAGCTGCGCTGGGCGACTGGACGGACGGGCCGACGGCAGAGGCGTGCCCAGTCACTTCACCTCCAGGCGGCAGCTCAACAGGTGCTCTCCCTGTCCACGTTGGCGTCTGACTGTCCTGGAAGGTCAGATGGTCAGGCCAGCCAGGCGACCATGCAGAAGCAGCAGCAGGCGCTGTACACGTTACAGGGTGCATTGAGCGCTCAACAGCACGAGGCGGGTGGGGCGCAGCAGGCCACGGACGAGCAGAGCCCTGGCGAGCCGGTGCAGCAGGCGGGCGCACAGGGGCAGCAGGTGGACGCACAGGGGCAGCAGACCCTCCCGCATCATGCAGAGATGAGTGGTGAGCCTCACCGCACCTTGGACATGCAGAGCTCATGCACACTCGCACCATGTGTAGCCCCAGACACTGATAACACAGGCCCTCCTGCCTGACGGCCCTCCAGCGTGAGGCAACATCCATGCTCCTGTAAGTGGGGCATGCAGAGAGGCCATGCCTCCCATTCTGGCACACTCCACAAACCCAGCCAGCCCTGCCTGACCTGCCTTGTATCCTGAGGACACTGGTGGCTGACCTCGCTGATCTCGGCTGGGACGGCTGACTCTGGTGAACAGCTGGGCTGGCGGCTGGTGTCCCTTGTGCAGCTGCATCCTCTCTCATCTGCACCTCCTTCTGCAGAAACTGCAGGAAGTCTGGGAGGTTCTCGGAGACACCACTCTGCGCTCTCATCCACTGCAGCTTCCACGTCTCTGGGACACAGGACTTCAGCACAGGCATGAGAAGCACAGAAAACGACTCAGCAGTCACACCCATGGTCTCCAGTGCACGAACATCAGACACCAAACCATCCACCATCTGACGCAGCTGCAGAAGGTCATGGTCATCAGGGACACAGCGAGTGTTCAACAGTCTCTGCATCAGTGACTCCCTCAGCAGGTCCGGACGGTCAAACCTCTCCTGTAAGGTTTCAATGGCCTTGACATATCCAGCATCAGTCAAAGGCAGTCCCTGGATAGCTGCATGTGCCCTCCCAGTCAGGTACAGTTTCAAGTGTACAAACTTTTCCACTGGGGAACAAGCTCTGTTGTCATGAACAGCAGTTCTGAACAGGTTCCAGAACTCAGGCCATGCGTCAACTGCTCCGTCAAACTTAGGCAGCTTTAGCTCAAGTTTAAAAGCACTCTGGCGCTCATGCAGTACTGGAGCAGAAGCTACTCCCCTCTCGAGCCTGGCTAGAACACGCTTAGCCTTGAAGAGAGCATCATACGCATCCTGCATGTGTGAGCTATCATCCTCGATCCCATGTTTGTTAAGTTCACATTGTAGCTGTAGCATATGCTCATAATGCATCTCGAGGTGGTGAATGCGTAGGGCCAGCTCATCCTCCTGCGACTGATCACTGGCAGAGAGGTCACGCAAAAGTCTGGTTACCTTACCTCTGGCTAAGGTTCGCTTCTGGCGCAGTTCACTTTCCTCCATCACAGCTCTTGACAGAACACTCAAATCTTGAAGGCACAGTCTCAATCTCAAAATCAAAAATATCAATCAAAATCAAAGCAAAGAACAACCAACAGCAAATCTTGATCCGGCCAGCGGAGGACTATGTGGTGAATTAACAATAAAAATAGCCGGTTCGTTGTCAAGAAAGAGTTGAATTGATTTTACTTTATATTATCTTCGGCGGCGGCGACTCTCAGCAACACGTGGCGGCGACACAATCACGGCGGCAGTCAGGGCGGAACTCAACCACGAGGACGAAAACGGGGGCGAAATCAACTCGGTTTATACAGCGCAATGTGAAGGATCCAGGACGGGCTACCAGACAGAGGATACTTTAAAAGTCGGAAAGGAAACTAGTATAGGCACGGGGAGGATAAAGGAAAAGGGCTCGAACACACGACAGTCCCAGTTAAAAATATCAAGCTCCACATCGGGAGAATCATCAGGTCGCTTGGCGTAGGACGAGAGCGTTGGAATCAGAAGACACTAACGCCTATGTAAGTGTGTGGGATCGAATCCTCGCGACCTCTAATAGTTTTACAGATACAGGCCGGCATAGGGCCAGTCGTTTGTTGACGCTCCAGATCGATCATTTTAAATCCAGAAGCGTCGCTGACGTGGGGGTTGGAAATGTCGCGGGCCTGCATTTCTCAAAATAGAGGTAGGTATGGACTTCCCACTGCTGGACTCCTCTGGTCATAATGCTGGACTCCTCGGTCCACCTACACGCTACCAAAACGTATATAATTAGGTACTCGTATCTACAACACGCTGCTCAGTCATTTTGTAAAATGGCTAGGTATTTTGTAAAATGCCTAGGCATTTTGCAAAATGACTGGAGAGTCAGTTATTTTGTAAAATGCCTAGGCTTTTTGCAAAAAGCCTGAAAAATCAGGCATTTTGCAAAATACCTAGGCATTTTACAAAATGACTGATTTTCTAAAGTGCCTGCAACATATATATGTCATGTTTCTTTCGTGATGCTTCGCTGTTCCTCTTTTCTTGATGTGATAATGGCTTCGATTTCCGCATCCTCTTGTGATAAGTGTGTTGAGAATATCTGCGCGTTTTTAACATTTTCTTCTACCAATTTTGGCGCTACGCAAACTTATTCGTCATTTTGAAATGTAGCTCTTTTCCGTTGTAAAAGGTATAGCAAAATATGCCGAAATATACAGAATAGCAATTTTTATATATTACCCAGTTGAAAGCCGTGAAAACATCATTTAAGCAGGGGGTTGAGCCGCAGAGGAGAAAAAGAGGATGGAATAAAGAGGGAGAACACCATAGAAGCGCACAAAGAGAGAGCAGATGCACAAAATTAATCTAAGTATTAGGTTTATAAAGACTTGCGGTAGATTGCATACTTCGTAGGATTGGTAATTGAGGCATGACCTATCAATAAAACAATAAGCAATGTACGCCTTGCGGCTTGCAACAAACTCTGCCCTGGTTATTTGCATCTCAACTAAACCATAAAACAAAAACTTCAAACAAAATCACCCAGCCTGGCACTGGTAACCCTCACGATAAAAATTAAAGTGCTTAATACCACGGGCATGGTGTGACTAAAAATACCTTATACTTGCCTAATACCACCAAATCCGACAGCAAAATCAACAAAATACACAGAAACCAAAATACAACTAAAGAGTGTTCTCAATTTGCAAATGAAACGCCGTTAGACCAATCAAATGCGAATACTGGCGTTTGCTAGCGACAGCAGTACAGAAAACTGTGCGCAACTGTGGGTGATAATCATGGTCTGCAGCTTTCAACACCGAAGCTCTTAACCATGCCAACGTGGTTGCTGCACCAGAAATCATATATTAACACATGTAACGCATAGTAACGCCATGTTAAGTACTGTAAATCCAAACCCCAGTCGTCCTTTATTGCAAATTATCAATGGCGTCATAAAAGCATGTACCTAAAAGCATTCTTGTGATGCATGTTTTTAGCACTGTTGATAAGGGATAATTAGTCGTATTCCTTCTATTTCTGAATAAGTAAGTTTGGTAATAAGTTAAGTTTGGTAATAAGTTTCTGAATATTCCTTTTATTTCTGCCAAATTCCATGGCAGTGTCAACAAACTTCACTCTGACGCTAAAACGCAATTCACACTTGCCCGTAAGGTCTGCCGGTGACGGGCCCGACACCGTCAAAACGGCCGAAACCGACGGAGCGACGGCCGTCAGGTCGACGGGCATGTGTGAACCGGCAGCGTTTGACGGCCGGCAACAGCTGACTGCGCCGGCGCCGGACCTGACGGCCGTCGCTTTGGAAAGTTCAGCAATGTTCAACTTTTGACGGTGACGGGCCCGTCGGTTTGAATGTCTGCGTGTTGGAGGAAGAGGAAAAGGAACGTTCTCATGCAGCATGAAGCTTAAATGCATTTTTAAGAGCATTTATACCATTTTCTATCCATTTGTTGAGATGAAAGTGTTTATTACGGCATGATATCTTGAGATTCGATCCCTGATTTAAGTCAGCGAACCAATGTGTCTTTCATTAAAGGGATTATCAGGGTTTAAAAATTGAAAGAAATCGGCATAAATTTCCAACCAATGAACTCCCCAGACTCTGCCGATTCTAACGATATGCATAAAATGTAAATCGGTACCAAAATTTGCGAGATATAGCCGTTTCAAAATTGACAAAATTGTACTTACTCACGTAAAACAAGTACTTGGGCGGCCAAGTTAGCCCATCGCTAAAATGTAAACAAAGAGCAGCCTTGGGAAATTTCGCTAAGGCCGCTGCACCGCACTGGCGATTTCCACAAGACGGGCCTTGTCTGCTTTGTTTTTGTCTGTTGTTTTTAGGGCCTTGCAACAAGATTTCAGTGCTTGGCATTGGATTTGGATATGAACAAATTGAAGATTTGCTTTTCAATAAGACAGCAAGAGTTAGCAACATTGCCAAAGTTATCATATCGGTGTGATTTGAATAGCTTGTTTGCTGATCATCAAAATCTTGATGTTAATATCATTTAAATGTCAAAAATTTTCAAGGGTAAATTTGAGTGTTTTATTTCAATAAATTGAAATGTAAGTGCATCAGGCACAAGAGCTAAGTTTCAATCTGATTATTTTGTCAAGAGTGGTGAATCTAATGTAAGGTCTTGCGAGAAAGCTTACCTAAGTGACTGAAGAAAGCGCTACAGTTTTTCAAGATCTACGTTGATCTGTTTGTTTTTCGAACAACAGGTCGTACAACATGATGTTGTGACATGACCTCTGTGCCCTGTACGTCTCCCCTGCTGCTGCAGCAGAGCCCCGGCTTCAACTTTAGTTTGTTATGGGTGAGCTCTCCGTGAACGTCTTGGTGCGTTTCTACATATTGTTGCTGTGAAAGGACGGTACATGAAAAATATGTAACTTTTATGTTTTTATTGCCCTGGTACCTACTTAATGTATATTTTTGTTGTTTATGAGTGATAAATGAATATATTTTGAGGAAAATTGAGGCATTTCAGTTTTAGTTTGTGGAACAAAACAGAAGAAGCTGCTGAGTGCGGATCATGCTTCAATTGAGAGAATCATCCTCAGTTATCTACATATAAGCATGCTTTGTAAGCTCCTTGCATTTTGCCAGCTTCTACTTGCTAGGATGCTTATAGGTACTGCACTAATGTATAATGTTCATTATGTTCATATTAGCACGCACCCAGGCAGCCTGCGTTGTGGTATTTCTGAGTTTAAGATTTTTTAAGACTCACACTAATCAATAAGGTAAATTATATTGATATGTATGGATGAACAATGTGCAAAGGGGTCGCACGTGCCTGCTCAGTGCTCAGCCATGGATGCACGTGCCTTCTCAACAATGGGCGTGCTTGCAGACATCTCCATGGACGAACAATGCAAGGGGGGGGGCGTGCCTCCGCGGCCGCCTGTTGGCTCAGCCGCTGCTGCTGTTTGGCGCCGCTGCTGAGCGCTGCCGGAGACGCCGCTCGCTGCCGGAGCTGCCGGAACAGTCACCGGAGCTGCCGGAGCTGCGGGAGCCGGGCCCGCCGCCCATCTGTCAGGACCGCCGACGGCAGCACGCCCGTCTGTCAGTGCCGGCAGTGGACGTGCGCGGGTGCGGGCCGGGTACGGACGCGCGCGGGTGCGCGCCAGGTACGGGTGAGTGAGTGAGTGAAAATGAGGTTTTAAGGCGTCCCTGTCCATTGGACATTCGGCCGCCTGTAAAGAATCTGTTTGCTAGAAAAATATCCAATTGCTAGAATTTTGATATTGCAAGTGCTCATTTACTTTAATTAAGTGTGTGTGAGTTCTAAAATTTTGACATTTAAAGTGCTCGGTAACGCGTTGTGGGTTTCTTGGGAGGTGAGTGGGATCCTGGGACTTACTTTACCTACTGTTAGAATTAGTTTTACGTTATAGTTACTTTAAAGGGTTGTTAAGCACTTTGTCCTCCATCAAGACAATAAATTCGATTTGGGATTAATTTTGCCATGGTGCCGGCACATGGCCTACTCTTCACGAACTACATCATGGGTTCTTTATCGTGCGGGTTAGGAGGCAATCTCCACACCCCCTCTCACGCCGGGTGTCGCGTTCACCCTACAATGCCGGGTGGTGCATAGGCCTAAATAATTATTGTCTGAAGGACAAGACTGCATGGCCATTTAACAACTTTGAAGAGGTGAAGACCAGTTGGCCTCTCTTAATTTTGAATCTCTCCTGTCTGCGCGTGACTGGCACCAAGCTTGGACCAGCGCACGGTTGAGTGGTGTGGTGAATGTCGGCCGGCGTAACTGGCACCAAGCTTGGACTAGCGCCCGGCTGAGTGGTGTAGTGAATATCAGCCGGCGTATCTAGCACCAAGCTTGGACCAGCGCACGGTTGAGTGGTGTACTGGGTGTCAGCCGGCGTAACTGGCACCAAGCTTGGACCAGCGCAAGGCGGAGCCAGGAGAATTCTCGAGTGTGATTACCGCTAAGTCAACTGTTGGGATGTTGGGCACGGCACTTAACTGTACGTTTATGTGTGCTTTAGAGTGCTCCTGTTAGCTTAGTGTCTTGTAAATATCTGAAGAGAAGTGCTAATAGCTCTGGGTGTCTGTCACCTAAAAGCTGATCTAAGCTCAACGTTACGTTCTCCTGCCGACAGAAGGCAATGATGTGTTGTCGGTGGAGGTTGAAGTGAGAGCACTCTAGCAGGATGTGTTGAACTGTAGGCACTGTGTTGACTTTGCAGAAGGCACAAATGTTATATTGTTGTGGTTCTAGCCATGGTGCGTTGAGTCTGGTGCGTCCGGTTCTAAGTCTGGTGAGCATTACTTCCTTTTGCCTTGTGTTTTGTTTTGAGGTCGCCCAGAAGCCTAATCGGGGTTTGATTGAGTGCATGTGTCCTTGATCTAATGATAAGCCCTTAAACGTATGGTTTTCGGTAG